AAAATTCCTTACCACAAGCTAGGTACTAGTTAGTATCCAATCATTTTATCTTCATAACAACTCAATGAGGCATGTACCCATGATAAAACCGAGACACACTGAGCTTAATTAACTTGTTGACACCATTAGTAACTGACCAATGAGGAGTTGGCTTTATAAATACCCATAAACCTGGTCTGGATTATCATTTCCAGCCCCTTTCAGATAATCTCACTTGTAAAGTTTTTAATTTAGCTTATCAGAAAAGGAACTTTTTATATTTACACACACAGTCCTTGACAAGTTTCTCTTCCTGATTTTGATGCCCTCTCATCCAGGTCCTATTCACTTTTCATCTGTACATTCCTATTAGAGTAAGTATTGGCTCATTTTCTTTGCCTCCATTTTTCATTGCTTCTGATTCCCTTTACACACGTAGTGAAATTCAATGTCCTATAACACAACTTTAATCATGTTGCTCTGTTGCTTGCACCTTCAATGGCTCACCATTTTCTTAACAGATTCAGAACACATTTGCCATTTAGTAGAGCATGTAAGGCCCTCCTTCTCCTAGCCTCCTTAAGCTTTCTGTATTCCTCTCTAATATATGCATGAGGTGGTCAAGCCATTCCCCTCAATTCATGCTATTATTTTCCATAAGGACCTCTGTTTGTGCCTTATCTTTCGGCACTCTCCCCCAGTGCTTCAACACCATATCCATTGGAGTTCTAACCGCTGGATTCCAGGGTCACCTTCTTCTCTTGAACTCCAAACATACTTCATAGCTCTTTTATAGCACTTACTATATCATGCCTTAAATAATGGCTACTTACTTTAAACTCCCCCAATAAAAAATGGTAAGAGTACCTTATTGTTGCTGCCCTAGCAGAATCATGCTTAGTATTTCACAAATAATAGATTTTGAATAAATATGTTTGAGATTCAGGGATAGATTTATGTGGAGCTTGGTTAAAATTTTATCTGCACACTAACAGCTAATTTAGTGAAGACCTTTCCTTTAGCACAGCTCTGTAAACCCATTAAGTGAATTAACTATGTGTCTTGCACACTGAGGAAAAGGATGGTTTTACCAAGTAGTTTCTTAATTGAAGCATTCAGTTATTTCACATACTACTTTGGAATATTAAGCATAAAACAGCATCATAAAAATTTTACTAGGACTCTGTATTGGAAATCATCTCCCAAAATTCATTCTGCTACTTGTATTTAGCAAAGGTAACCCGGTATATTTGGTCAGCCATATTGGCACCCTGCTAAAACTCAACATGTCCCAGTCATTCTTACAACTATAGTAGGATCTATAACTAAGTCTTGACCCATGAAAGGTAATCAGAAGTATTTTTTTTTAGTATTTCTTGAAGTCTCCTTAAAAGTTTTGAGGCATTTGGAATGCAGATGAAATGGATGGGGCTCCAGTAGTGAACAGAAATAGAAAAAAAAAGATTTTTAAAAGCACAAAATATTGATTTGTTGCCCACCTCTCTATTTAGAAATAAGATGATTATGAACATTCTAAGATAAAACTTGATGTGTTAATTGTTTTCAAGATGGTTATAAATGCACAACTACAAAACAATATAATAGGAGTACACATTTGGAATTAACACAAAGAGTTGCCAGTTATCTTGAAGCAATTTGCAATAGAGAAATAGGACCACCAGAGAGGTGGGTTTTTTCCAACATTAATGAGACATTTTCAAGAGATTTTAATGAGAGAGTTTCAAGTAGTATAAAATAATGCCCAATGCAGATTACTGTCATATTCTTAACAGTATTTCATGTTCAACCTATACTCACAACTATATTTAGCTTACTATTACTTATCAAAATCCATCGCTACAAGAAATAGACTACAACTTCAAGTCTTTTTATGTATTAGATGTCATCATGTCTTATCCATTATAAATTACCTTGAAATCTAGTAGTATTTAAACTGAGGCAATTTGGAGTCTTTTTTTTTTTAAGATTTTTATTTGTTTATTTTTGAGAGAGAGAGCATGTGCATGCAGCATGAAGCAGTGGGGGTGGTTTGGGACAGAGGGAGAAGCAGACTCCCTGCTGAGTAGGGAGCCAGGTGTGGGACTCAATCAGAGGACCCTCGGATCTGACCCAAGCGGAAGGCAGATGCTTAACCAACTGAGCCACCCAAGTGTCCCCAGTTTGGAGTCTTTTAAATTCATTTTCTTGAGGAAAAAATAACTTTATAGTAAAATGACCTTCCTCTGAAAAAGAAAGAAAGGTCATATTTTTAATTTTTTCAAGGATGTGACTATGAAAAATCAGGGGACCTTTATCCAAATGTAATCACTAAAGCTCACCTGTGTTCATTGTATCAAACTCTTTTTTGTGCAATTCTAACTATGGAATCTGAAAATGCTCCTGTAAAACTTGTTGTCATGACAACAAAACCCCCTAAGAAATGATTCAACTCCGCCTGTGAGGGAAGCATTCATGACATGATTTAACAGAGAGATGCTTCAACCACCCACTACAACCCCATTTTTCAGCTTGTCTATTGTTTGCTTATATTTTTTAACACTTAACAAAATTTCCACCCTACATAGCTCTTATAAATATGCTTAAAGTAGCAGTTGTGTTTGTCTTTACTACTGTTACTTATAGTGAGTAGGAAAGGGGATGACTAAAATTTGTCAAGCCTTAGAAATTATTTAGAAATATTTTTATTGATCACTCATCTTTGATTTGGTTTGAAGAAGCTCCTTTAAACATCTTCTAATAGATTTCTCTATAAGGAAATGTTTGATAACTCTGGGCAAGGTGAATTTGTGAAAAAGTATACTTATTGTTTAACAAAAATGAGAAAATAAAAAGTGAAAAAGTAAAAATAATAATTTTAAATAAAGCATATTTGTTTTGTCTTAAAAAATAAATAGCTTCAAAACCAGTGCCAAAAAAAAACTTCCTGCCCTTTGACTTGCTTTTTAAATCATAGAATCTAAACTGTAAAATGGGATTAAAATTCTAATAAATTTCAAAATGTAAAATATGAGTGATTTGGGGGAAAAGTAAGAAAAAAAACTAAGAAAAGCTTTGGTCTGTAGCTTTCTTACCCAATGTGTCATACTACTTTCATAATTTTCTTCTTAAATAAGAAGAGGTCTTTCTCATTGTGCTTATAAACGATCGCTTCAGTCCCTTCTTGCACCTTATCAAGAATTTGAGGGGCACCTGGGCGGCTCAGTCGGTTAAGCACCCAACTGTTGATTTCGGCTGCTTAGGTCAGGATCTCTGGGTCATGAAATTGAGCCCTGCTTCGGGCTCTGCACTCATCAGGGATTCTGCTTGAGATTCTCCCTCCTGCCGTTCTCTCTCTCAAATAAATAAATAGGGGCGCCTGGGTGGCTCAGTTGGTTAAGCGACTGCCTTCGGCTCGGGTCATGATCCTGGAGTCCCGGGATCGAGTCCCACATTGGGCTCCTTGCTCAGCGAGGAGTCTGCTTCTCCCTCTGACCCTCCCCCCC